CTGGAGTGCTGCTAGCAGACAGGGTGGCCGGACTTTGCTGTACCGACTTAGCACACGTTGTCAGGAGAGACCAGGACATCATGCTCGGCAGAGTGGACAGGCAGCACGAGGGGCGGCGGAGTGGAGACCCAAAGCCCATCTGTGGACAATGGAACAACCCCCACAGAGGGGTCGCAGGGAAGGGACGAGTCAATCAGGGTGCAGGAGGGCACTGATGGATCACGCCATATACCTCTGATCCCTTGAGGCTTCCTCACCCCCCACGATTGCTACCCCAGTGCCGCGTCCCACTCCAGCCTGGACTGGAACATGCACATAGGTACAGGCAAGAGATAAAGCTCAGGACATGCGGAACCCAGCAACAGGGATGGGAACAGCAATACCAAAAGGGGAGGGGGAAGGCGGGGAGAGGAGGGGAGGAAGGGGGCACAGGTTACAATGCACGGCACAGAACCACACCGCCTCTCCAGGGGGAGGAGCAACAGAAACCAGAGGGGAAGGGAGACAGTGGTCGGTGTGAGCTATGAAAATAATAACAATCTATAATCTATCAAGGGGCCACGAGGGTCAGGGGGAGGAGGGAGGGAAAAAGAGGAGCTGATCCCAAGGGCTCAATGGAAAGCAAATGTCTAGAAAAGAACGATGGAATATGTGTACGAATGTGTCTGATACAATTGACCAATTGATGTATGGATTGTAGCAAGGGTTGTTAGGGCCCCCATAAAATGATCTTTAAAGAAAACGTGGACTGGCAGCACGGAAGAGAAAGGTGTTCAAGGAGCTGACTGACCCTCTGGCAGGCTGCAACACTGTGAGGATGGTGCAGGGCAGGGCAGTGTCTTGTTCTGTGGGTCGGAACCGGCTCCGAGGCCCAGAACAACCACCACCATTCCTGGAAGAACAGAATGGAGAATGGGTTTTTGTGAAGCCCCTCTTAAACACAGTGGGGACTGCTCGGCCACACGGAGACCGGGGTCCCAGCCACATGGAGCCGGTTCCAAAGTCTTCCTATGTAACAAACAAATAAGCTGAAACCTAAGAGGATTAGAGATAAACAGAGGTGGGAGGGCCGGGGGGTGGGGACCCGGTGCCCCTGGGCCCTGCCCCCAGGGGACGTGTCTGCCCCGGGCTCTGAGTGGATGTGAAAGGTGGCTAAACAAGATCTGTCGCAGGCACGGGACCACAGTTACACAACATGAGGAGTGTCATCATGTCACGGGTCACCGCACCACGTGTGTTTTGAAACGGTTGTGACACTGTGCCTTGTTATCTGAATTTCACTGCAGGGTTGTTTGTTTTGTTTTCTAATAGACTACGCTCAGCTTGGAGCCCCTTAAAAGATTGGGTGCTTCCCCCATCAGGGGGTGGGCTGGGTGTACAGGCAGAGAGGTAGTTCTGGACTCGGGTGGGTGCTGAGACAGCCCACCGCCGTGTACCCCACCCCTTCGATGACAAAACCAAGCCTTAAGAGGCAGGAGAACTGGGACTCAGTTTCCCCGGGGGGCCTTGATCTCTAGGGCCCCCGAGTCTCCAGCAGGGGGGCCAGCTACCTGCCAGCCAGTCGTCCTGCCTGAAGGGGCAGAAAGGAAAGCCGAGTCCAGAGGAAAGTGACAGTGAGGTTTTTATTGGGTTTCCATTCACGGAGAATGAACGAGATATTAAAACACTGGGCAGAGAGAGAGAGAGAAAGATCGGGGGGCGGCGCGGGGGTGTCGTATCTGAGGTCTTAGAAATCCGAAATTAAAAAATCCAGTGTGCACCCGAACCTTCCGGCAGCGCAGGTGGCCTCCAGAGACGGGGGCTGGGATCTTGGTTCCAGAGGACGCTCAGAGGTGGGGAGCTTTCTGGAGGGGGGCGGGTAGGGGTTCAGCCGGGGTTATTTGTTGTCCATCGGCAGAGGGCTAGGGCTTGTGACATCCAGGTTCCAGCTCAACAGGACTGACGGCCGGCCGCCTGGAACAGGATGCCCAGGGCTCGCTCGGTGATGACAGGCACATCCCTCCCCCGTCACCTTGTGTCTGGAGGGCACAGGGAGTAACTCCTGGGGTGTGTGTGTGAGGGGGTGGCATGAGGGTGACAGGGCCCTGACCAGCCCTGGTTTTGCCCGGGCATGCTCAGGGTGTGACCACCACTGTCCCCAAGGGGGGAGGGGCAGGGACGGGGGCAGCACCCATAGCCAAGGGCCCAGAGTGGATGAGAGTTGCTCTCTGGGAAGTTTGTTTTTTTAAATAGGAAGATTTTTCCTAAGATAGAAACTCTGAGTCCACCCTGCTGGGGTCATAGTCACACTGGGTGCAGGTGCGGGCAGTGGGCGCCCAGAGGTTGAGGCAGGGTCCCTGTGGACGTGGGGTGAGGCGGAGGGGAGACAAGGTGGGGGTGGCAGCTGAGACTGACCACTGGGACAGGACAAGCCTGTCCGTCCCCTGGCCTGTTGACCCTGGGGACCCTGTCTGGCTCTGAGCCCCACTCTCTCTCCAGGAACATCAGGGTTGGTGGGGCAAGGGTGTGGGGTTTGGTTGGTGGGGTAGGGGCCGTGGAGGTGCAGGAACCAGGGTTCAGGGCCACCAGAACCCAAGGTTGTCAGGTGGCTGAGCCCAGAGCGGGCAGAGACAGGTAAGGTTTGGCCTGAAGACCAGTCCTGGCGTCCAGGGGCCTTGGCCGCCTGGTCAGTGTCTCCTGCTCCTGTGGCTTCAACTCCTCTGGGGGGCTGGGGAATGTTGTGGTGAGGGGCTGGGCTTGGCACAGCTGCGCCCCTCCCCCCACCTGCCCAGGACTGGTGGACCTGGGTCCTCTTGTTTCCTTTGGCTGGACGCAGGGTTGGGGGGGATGGTGAGGGTGTGCATTTGGGGGGGATGCTTCTAAAGGACAACACCAGCCCCCCCACACACACCCCGTATCAGTACACACATGGGCGCCCTGGGGGTTCCCTGGCAGCTGTCTCTGAAGTCCATTGGCACCTCTGGGTGAACTGAACTGAGTGGCCAGCCCTGCAGTCAGCAGCTGAGTGCGTGAGCTGTCCGGGTTGGGGGCTCAGAGAAAGGAAGCCCTTCCCACTTGACAGCAGACGCCAGGATGGGGGCACCGGCCAGGGGGAGGGGGCGTGGGGTGGGGGCGGGGACAGCAGGAGGGTCTCTGGGGAGGGCAGATGCGGTCTTCCAGCAGCCACTGTCAGCAGCTTCCTGGGACTCACGCAACAGGGCTGTGCCCTGACACGGTTCGTTGGGGGCAGATCGCCAGGCCTTGCCCCAGCGGTGCAGCTGGTGGACTGACTTTGCACACAGCTGCAAGCACTTGGCCTTGGTGCCCCCCGGGGCTCCTTCCAGCTACGGGAAGCGCAGCGCGGCCCTCGCGCGCGCCCCCGCGTGTCTCAGGGCGGAACTGCATCTGAGGAAGTCCAGCTCCCGGCCAGCCTGGGGGTGGCCTTGAACCGGCAGCCTTTGGTGAGCCGCTGGGCTCTGGTAAGCTTGCTGTCTTGGCACTGGGCCCGGAGGTGGGGCTGAGGGGTGGGGGATTGGCACATCTCTGGGCGGCTGGCCCTAAGGTGAGGCCCGGGGCCTGGTGGCCACCTGGGGACCTGCTGGGAGCAGCCCTGAGACCCGTGTCCATCGGTGCTGCAGGGACCGACCAAAGGGCCAGTTTCTTCCTGCCCGGCATGGGGGCAGTGGTGGCACGTGGGTGGGTGGGGCTGGGGTGGTGGGAAGGGACGGGCGAGCATTATGCCATCCATCAGACTCCCCCAATCCCCCTGCTTGGTGGGTGTCAAAGAGGAAGCACGGGGCTTCTTTAAAAGGGCCCCCTCCCTCTGTCAACGCCACCGCAGGCACTTTCCACGGCTGTTGGGAAAGGCACGGGTCCCACGGGCAGCGCCGCGCCTCTCTCACTTCCTCAAACCGCTCCCCGCCCCCCAGGGGCCACCTGGACCCGGCTGGGAGGACCACTGGGCATTGCACGTGGAGCGCGCGCACCCCCGTTCCCAGAAGGCTGGGTATTCCACATTGCCCAGAAGCAGCTCAGTCCCTTTAACCACAACAATCCCAACCCATCGCCCCAGTGTGGAATCGCTCCCGCCTCCCAGCGCAGAGCAGCTCGCCTTCTGGGCAGGGCGAGTGGCCAGGCCTTTCTTCCGCTGCACCGCTGGGTGGAGAGGAGAGGGGTGCCCACTATCGCGAGTGCCACCTGGGGAGACTCGGACGATGAGAGCCCCACAGGGGTGGGGGGAGAGGGGCGGGGGTCTGCTGGGAAGGTGGAAAAGCTTTAGGTGCCAAAGCCTCCCGCTGCCAACGCCCAGGTCTGGGGCTGCCTACCCAGCCAGCGCTCCCCCAGCCACCCTCCCAGGTCATGGAGGAAACCCCTTCCCAGATGGCCCAGGCCCCAGGGGAAGGGCGAGGGTCACCGCATGGCTGCATTTCATGGACAAAGTCCCCTCCAGCCCCAGCCCCGCCCCTGGGTGTCCCATCTCAATCCCACAGGGGTCACAAGGTTTCTACAAAAAGAACAGAGGGTTTCCTCCCGAAAAAGTAGTTACATCCCCCAACCCCCCAGATTTTGTCCCCCCTTTTTTGTTGTTTAAAAAAAAAAAGCCCATGGCCTGGGAGAAATCTCCTCATGATTGGCCAACGACAGCCAGTGAGGGTGGCCAGAGCCAGGGATGGACCTCCCACCTGACCCCATTTCCTCCCACACCTCGCTTGGCCCCCAGACCACAATTCCCAGGGCAGCAGAGACTCTGAGGGAGGGGCTGCGGCATGGTGGTGGGTGTGTGAGGGTGGCAGTTTGGGGATGCCTGAGTCTGGAGGGAGGGGCTCTAGGGGGGAGAGGGGTGGGAGGGAGGTGTCTTCGAGGGGTTGTGATGTGGGTCTGAAAGTCCAGGGTCTTGGGGCGACCCTGTGGGGGCAGCGGGGGCTTTCAGCAGGGATGCTGGGATTGGAAGCGTTTGAGGGATGAGATTCTGCCTGGTTGAGACAGAGACAGAGAGACAGAGAAGGGGAGAGGGAGGGGGAGGGGGGGGAGGGGGGCGGGAGGAACAGCCTCTACAGAATGACACAGGGCTTCTTGTCCTTGAAGGGGTTCTCGGAGGCTGGCACTCCGACCAGCAGGGGGTCGCTCCGGGCGTGCTGCTCGCAGTAACTCATGAGCTCGGAGGAGGCTTTGGAGACCTGGGAGGGAACGGCAGGAGACAGGAGGGGCTCTCAGAGAGATGGGCGTTGCGAAGCGGCCCTGGAGCAGCTCAGCTGAGCCACCTGCAAGCTGGAGGCCACTGGCCGCCGTCAGCAAAGGGGGCACTGTGAAGCCGGCGGCCCCTGTGGGCAGAAGAGGGCTGGCGAGTTTCTTCAGCTGAGATGGACAGCCTGGGGGGAGGGGGCGGGGGTGTCCTGCAGGGCAGCTCTGCTCTCTTCTCTGGGGTCTAAGCCACAGGGTGTGTGGCTGGCTGGAGAGAACACCACTGATGGAGGGGGTGGCGATCACAGTGGGGTCCACCAATCAATAATGAAAGTAGCCAATCTGCCCCGCACCCCCCACCCCACCCCCCAGGCCATCCTGACTGCCAGCACCCCTGCAGATCAACGGTCAGGCCTTTCTCTCACATTGCTGCCAAGCAACAGGCTGGGCCGCCTGGGGGCCTGGTCCACCCACACCAGGGACGGGTCCATCTCACTGGGCCAGGAAGAGGAATGGCATGTCCTCTGGGAGGGGAGACCCAAGACAAACCCCACTGTGGTTCCAATTCACGGAGGGCCGACACAGCCCCCCTGAGGGTGTCCGAGACCCCAGACAGGCCTCTTGTCCTTCGGAGTGGTGGCTGGTGGTGGGCTGCCTCGTGGACAGAAGCCTGCCACAAAGAGCTAGCAGGTGTCTGACCCCACACGGAAGGGCCACAGAGACAGGAAGTGCACCCTTAGTTCCCAGAAGGGCGAGGGAGAGGGACACTGATGGGGGGGTTCTCTCTGGGGTGACAGTTTTTTTTTTTTTAATGGTACGGAGTATGTCCAAACCCCCAAACCAAACTCACTGCCACCGACTTGGTGGTGCTTCACAGCAACCCTAAGACGGGTAGAATTACCCCGTGGGTTTGCAAGGCGGTAACTCTTTACGTGAGTAGAAAGCCTCGTCTTTCTCCTGTGGAGCGGCGGGTGCCAACTGCTGACCTTGCGGTGAGCAGCCCAACGCATGACCACTGTGCCACCAGGGCCCCTCAGACGAATGCCTGCACACGGTAGCACTGCTCTTGACATAGGAGGACTGACTCTGGGTTTCTCCAAAAAGGGTCAGAAAGAATGAGCCAACACTGTCACAACACCGCACGACATACCACCACCACACCACACTGCGACACCATCGCACAACACCACAACCATACAACACCACACCACACTGCAACACCATCGCACCACACCACAACCATACAACACCACACCACACTGCAACACCATCGCACCACACCACAACCATACAACATAACAACACCACACTGCAACACCATCACAACACCGCACGACATACCACCACAGCACAACACCACACTGCAACACCACCACACAACACCACAACCATACAACACCGCAACACCGTCACAACACCGCACGACATACCATCACAGCACAACAGCACACTGCAACATCATCGCACAACACCACATTCATACAACACCACACCACACTGCAACACCATCGCACACCACAATAATACAACACAACATAACACTACAGCATCATAGCACGGCACCACAATCATATAACACAACACCACCACAATACAACACAACACCACCACAGCACAACACACCACAACACCACCACAGCACAACACTTTAACACAATACAACACAACAGTAATACAACACAATACCACAACACCCCATCACAACTCAACACAAACTACAACATCACAACACCACACCATGGCACAACACAGCACACCAGAAGACTACAACGATACAACACGATACACCACCACAGCACAATACAGTAACAACACTACTACATCACAGAACACCACAGCACACAACACAGCGCAAGCCCCACAGTTGTGTGGAGCCTCCTCTGACCCCGTGTAGGTCTCCGAGGTTGAAGGGCCCCACGGGGCTTTTTGATCCCC